CATGGCCAAGACCAAAGAGCTCTCCAAGGATGTCAAGGATAAGATTGTAGACCGACACAAGGCTGAATGGGCTACAAGACCATCGCCAAGCAGCTAGGTGAGAAGGTGACAGCAGTTGGTGCGATTATTCCCAAATGTAAGAAACACAAAAGAACTGTCAATCTCCCTCGGCCTGGGGCTCCATGCAAGATCTCACCTTGTGGAGTTGCAATGATCATGAGAACGGTGAGGAATCAGCCCAGAACTACACGGGAGGATCTTGTCAATGATCTCAAGGCAGCTGGGACCATAGTCACCAAGAAAACAGTTGGTAACACACTACGCCGTGAAGGACTGAAATCCTGCAGCGCCCGCAAGGTCCCCCTGCTCAAGAAAGCACATATACATGCCCGTCTTAAGTTTGCCAATGAACATCTGAATGATTCAGAGGACAACTGGGTGAAAGTGTTATGGTCAGATGAGACCAAAATGGAGCTCTTTGGCATCAACTCAACTCGCCGTGTTTGGAGGAGGAGAAATGCTGCCTATGACCCCAAGAACACCATCCCCACCGTCAAACATGGAGGTGGAAACATTATGCTTTGGGGGTGTTTTTCTGCTAAGGGGACAGGACAACTTCACCGCATCAAGGGGACGATGGACGGGGCCATGTACCGTCAAATCTTGGGTGAGAGCCTCCTTCCCTCAGCCAGGGCATTGAAAATGGGTCGTGGATGGGTATTCCACCATGACAATGACCCAAAACACACGGCCAAGGCAACAAAGGAGTGGCTCAAGAAGAAGCACATTAAGGTCCTGGAGTGGCCTAGCCAGTCTCCAGACCTTAATCCCATAGAAAATCTGTGGAGGGAGCTGAAGGTTCGAGTTGCCAAACGTCAGCCTCGAAACCTTAATGACTTGGAGAAGATCTGCAAAGAGGAGTGGGACAAAATCTCTCCTGAGATGTGTGCAAACCTGGTGGCCAACTACAAGAAACGTCTGACCTCTGTGATTGCCAACAAGGGTTTTGCCACCAAGTACTAAGTCATGTTTTGCAGAGGGGTCAAATACTTATTTCCCTCATTAAAATGCAAATCAATTTATAACATTTTTGACATGCGTTTTTCTGGATTTTTGTTGTTATTCTGTCTCTCACCGTTCAAATAGACCTACCATTAAAATTATAAACTGATCATTTCTTTGTCAGTGGGCAAATGTACAAAATCAGCAGGGGATCAAATACTTTTTCCCTCACTGTACTACTGTAGGGTCACTAGATACTATAGAGTTAGTATTTACTACAATAGTCAGTAGATACTACTATAGAGTCGGTATGCAATACTACAGTCAGTAGCTACCACTATAGACAGTATATACTGCTGCAGAGTCGGTAGATATGACTATAGAGTCAGTAGATACTGCTATAGAGTAAATAGATACTCTTTGGTTCTTTCGGTAAAGTCACGTATAAAAATAAAATAATAAATTAAATACTAGCATACGGCGTTTCGATTGCAACACAAGCAATCATCATCCTCTCCAAATTAAGTTTAAATAGATACTACTATAAATTCATTAGCTACTACTAGTCATAAGATACTACTGTCGAATCAGTAGTTACTACTATAGAGTCGGTAGATACTACTATAGAGTCACTAGATACTACTCACTCTATTGTATGTAGGGTGTGTAGGTATATATGCCTAAGGGGGGTAAAAATATTTTTTGAGGGGGGGAGGTTGACAATTTTCAAAAACCTTTTATATCAACGGTTTACCCCCATTTTTTGATTCAGGACTTCTGCAAGCCTCTTGTAATTGTGTTGACAGACAGATGGACAAACAGAACGCCGGGCTTTCACAATAGCTACGTATTTGTGTATGTATATGTTATGTTTTAAGAGAACACAAGTTTTTAAATATATTCTTCCCCCGGCAAGGCCGGGTAATTCCCGCTAGTTAACCATACATGCCATACATACAAAAACATTGTTACGAATGAAAACATATTTCCGAAAAATACCTCGCGTGAAATCTAGTCGTGCTACTGCTAGTGTTTGTTACTGAACACCAGGATTTTTTGCTAACTGAAAGCAAGACGTATGATAACTTAATTGTGAGTATTGTACCTTTACATCTTGTCATGAATACTGTCATAATGACACTGTCTTTTAACTAAAATAATATATATAGTTATAGCCTACATATTATTGTATATGGGTTAAAACCATCTGTAGCTATTTCAGTAAAAGTGAGTCGGGAGAAAGGAGGAGGGGGGCACAGGCATAGAGATAGGTCGTTGCGTCCCTGTCCTTCTTGCTTCTTTTGCATTTTTTTGTTTTTTGTTCAGCCTGTTTCTGAACCAACTGTCACAGCAGGTATGTATGGGAAGGCACATATTACATTTTACACTGCGTCTATAGACACTTTTTTACATACGAGAAGGCCATAGTTTTACAATGCTTTAACTTTTTCACGTGGATGTGTGTATGTATTATGTTGAATCTTGACTCAAAGCTTTCGTGACTGCAGGAACTCATATTCTTGGGTCTTTTATCAAAGTCACGTAGATAGGTTCAAAGAAAATAACAAAAATAACAAAAAACTACGATGTTTCGATCGCATCACAAGCAATCATTATCAGGAGAAAAAAGAGCGGGGAAAGCTGCTGAGGCAGGCTGTTTTAAAGGTTTGAAATGGGTGTAGCCCAAGGGTCATAAACTAAATGGCCAGGGCGAATGATGTTAAAGTGAAAAATTTGCATTTTAAATGTAAGGTCGGAGAGCTACATCCACGACGACAAAGGCATGGAGGTGGCCATTGTATTGTGAAAGATTAGCATGTCAATGTAAGATCGCAGAGCCACAGCCACATCGAGGACACGAGCGATGGTGGCTGTGTTAGTGTGAGACATATAACCTGTTAATGTAAAACCAGAGAGTCGAAAATACCTACTAACATCGGAAGGTAGGATGGAAACATCAGTCAGTTAAGACTTTACCTGGTTAATAACGTCCTTCCAATGATTGCTCAGTTTGTACCCATCTTCTCAGTTAAAATTGTGTCTGTGTTTATATATCTGGATGGCTTCATGGACAAATCTCTGATGGTAGCACCAAGGTTTGCAGAGTACCTTGGTCTCGGAAAAACAATATCGTGTGAACCCACCGCATTAAAACAGTGATCAACCACAGCAGAGGTATTGGTTCTGCCGTGTTTCAAATCTGCCTTGTGTTCGCGAACATGGTCCGAGACATGTCGTTTCGTTTCCCCGATGTAACTGCTGCCGCAGACACAACTTAATTTGTAGATACCAGATTATTGCATGTCAGGAATCACATCCTTCACAGATGGGATCAAATCACGGATTTTGTGTTCTGTGAATCGAACCGGGATCTTGTGTTTGTTCAAGATTTTGGAAATCTTTTTTGTAACACCTGCTATGTATGGCAAGGGGATAGGTTATTTTAACCTATCTACGTGACTTTACCGAAAGACCCAAGAATATGTATGTTGAACTTCTGTCGCACCATGCGGAGCCAACCGTGCTAATTGGAGGTGTGGGGGACAAACTAAACACAAAAAAGGTGTTCTAAAGTAATCAGTTTTCAATCCAAATGATTTAAAGTGCATAGCTCCAGTGGCTTCCTAATATTTGAAGGAAGAGTGTTCCAGATGGCCGCAGAAGCGCTTTGGAAACCGCGCGATGCGGTGACCGTCTTTGTTTGATGGTGAGCCAAAAGCCGCCACTGCGAGGGTCATTGGAGTTTGCGTGATGATGGTTTATGTTGCTTGACGAGATCAGCCAGGTGGGACAGACACGTGAAGGAGCTGCTTAAAAGTGTTTTACTGCATTGAGTTGGTGAACATCGCATGAGGACCTCGCATCTGTCGGCACTCATCGAGGACCCCCAACTTCTAAAAATCTGACAGTACGCCAGCTATTGGTCCAAGCTATGCGGACTCGGCCGATGTGATGCTGAATGTTGAAAATCGCTCCGGAGTGAGCATGTTTTAATAAACTAATGGCTGCTCTGAAATTATCCACTCCCCCAGGAGGTCACATGGCTGATGTGATGTGTAGAATTTTTTTTTTAAGGGACAGAAAAACAGATCGGTTAAAGAAAATCAGGGTCTGAATATTTATTTATACTGGAGGAATCTGATGAGCTATACAGCTCTTCTTCAAAGATCTCCAGTAGGGGCAGGTCTGAACATTACACCAAACAATAAAAATGATGATAGAAGTGCAAAATACAAGAAAGGTAAACAAATCACCCAAAACATACAAATAAAACCAAGCCATTCCCATCCTACTAGGCAAAGCCCACTGAAGGTATTAACTTATTTTTTAGAAGTGACCTGGCCGCAAATTATAGCTCAACAGTGACTTATCAGTTGTACATTTATCACAGCAAAATAATCTAAATAATCTGAATGCATTTTTCTAAATGTGGAGGGAAAAACCGGAGGACCTGGAGAAAAAAATCTGCACGACTGCATGGAGAGAAACGCAAAACCTCCAAATAATACAGCAGGCGTCAGGGTCAGGATCAAATCCCCGACCTGCATACCGGGAAAGGAAGATAACATCACACAACCATTGATACCCCTTAAATAAATAAAGTATATCAGTTCAAATTGCATAATCAATTCCCAAGCTTGGAAAAGGCAGTAAAACAACAGTAAGAACAGTCCCAGACCACAGCAAGACAACAACACACAGTCCCCTCAATAACATTTTACATTACAATTAAACTCTCAATACCATACTCTTTGGTTCTTTCGGTAAAGTCACGTAGGTATAAAATAAAATAAATCACGACATTTTAGGCGCAACACAAGCGTCCGTCATCAGGTGGGAAAGCATGGTCTGCTGCTGTTTCAAAAGGTTTGAAATGGATATAGCCCAAGGGTCATAAAGAAGTGGCCAGGGCTAGTGATGTTAATGTGAGATACCACTGTTGAGAATCAAATTTACAAATCATATTAGCTCATTACCAGAGCTCCAAGGTTACTCACCGGAGCCCTTGTGCACTGCTAGGTCCACCTTTCCGTACGTTCCCTTGCCCAGTTCTCTGATGATGTCGTAATGTTCAGCAGCATCCACCAGTTCCAAACTCTGGGCTGCAGCCACCTGCAATTCCTCCAGGATGTCCTCCGTCACACACGGCGCTGATGACATGATGGCTGTTTCCCCACGGTCTCAAACCTGAGAGCAAAACACAAGCATTGGACAGCAGTGAAAGACAACTCAAATTGTGTATCTACCATGTTTGTGCAATACGAACCCAGCGACCCGAGTTCAATTCCCGCTCACAGCCACAACTGGTGACAATGATCTGAACCGGTCCTGGGCCTCCCCTAGGTCGACTCAACCTCAAATGAGTACCCAGTACCGTGTAAATAATCGCCACTAGGGAGACAAAGTTGGCCCCTCGTGTCCTGTGCCAGCCTTCATAGGTGCCCATTAACAGCATTTGCCCCTACTGTCTATTAAGGCGATTGGGAAATGTATCATTTGTATATATTTGTATGTACGTGTGTCTGTCTAAATATGATAAATATAGTGTATGAACTTGGCGGGAGACGACTTCACGGGTTGCACACTCTTTATTAACACCAACTTATATTACACGGGTGGCTAACTGCAGCCTAACCCACGGGGTTCCCCTGGCTACACCCTCACGGGCTCTGACGCCCCGTAGCTTCTCGGAACCCACCCGGCTGGGGTGTCCGTCTCGACTCTGGGTCCCACAGCCTCGTCCCACATGGACGTCAGACCACGGGTCCCACAGTCTCGCCTCCGAGCCACACAGGGTCCCGGCCCTTACAAGGACAGCGGGACTAGGGGTCTCAGGGCCCTACCTCTTCAACTCCGTCTTCGATTCTAGATTTGAAGCTTTCGTGACTGCAAAGATTCATATTCTTAGGTTTTTTCGGTTAAGTCACGTAAGTAAAACATCAAAATAAAAATAAAATAAAAATAAAAATCACGACGTTTCGGAGGCAACACAAGTCTCCGTCATCAGGTGGGACCGTCACAGCCGAATTAGCTGCATCAAGTGAAGCAATGATTCAAGATGTAATCCCTTATAAGCAAGTTGAAGGGAGGTGGAGAGGGGGGGTTGGAGAGCTTATCAGACTGTGGTAGCCAATGAATGGAAACGTATCGGGAGGGAGGAGGGGCGGTGATCAAAGACTGCACGCAGTGCTCAACACAATGAATGGAAACGTCTCGGGAGGGAGGGGGAGCGGCGATCAAAGACTGCACGCAGTGCTCAACACAATGAATGGAAACGTGTCGGGACGGAGGGTGAGCGGCGATCAAAGACTGCACGCAGCGCTCAACACAATGAATGGAGACGTGTCGGGACGGAGGGTGAGCGGTGATCAAAGACATCACGCAGTGCTCAACACAATGAATGGACACGTGTCGACTATAAACTCTCCTACGTACAAACTAGCCCGTTTTCTATCAGATACTCTGCTCCCCTTCACAGGCAAGACCTCTTCGGCAGTACTCAACTCAACACAATTAGTCTCTATGGTTAAGGACATGGTACTATCTCCGGATGACATCCTCGTCAGCTTTGATGTAGTATCTTTGTTTACCAAAGTCCCAGTACCGGACACCCTAACAATAATTGAGGACTTAGTCCAACATGGATTGAATTCTGATGTACCTGCGCTGGTGAGGCATTGCCTCACCAACACCTATTTTACCTGGAATGGCACCTTCTACAAACAGAATGAGGGTACCCCTATGGGCTCCCCCTTGTCACCAGTTATAGCCAACATGTTCATGGAAATGTTTGAATCAGACGCCATCCAGACATCCACCCTACGTCCTTCCTTTTGGAAGAGGTATGTTGATGACACTTTCGTCATCTGGCCACATGGCCTCCCAGCACTGAACCACTTCTTAGACCACATCAATTCTAGACACCCATCCATCAGATTCACTATGGAAGTAGAGAAAGACGGCAAACTACCATTTTTGGATATTCTGTTTGAGAGGAGACCTGACGGATCCTTGGGACATTCTGTCTACAGGAAAGCCACCCACACAGATTCCTACTTGAAACCGGATTCCCACCACCACCCATCTCAAAAGAATTCTCTCATCACAACGCTATACCACAGAGCCCATGGCATTTCTGACCAACACCACCTGACCGGTGAATTGAGACATGTACATCGGGCCCTCAGGATGAACGGATACTCTGACCGTACTATCCGCCAAGCGGTTTCTCCCACCACACAGAAGAAACAGCCACATGAAACTCCGACCAAAACTATCACGTTACCATACATAGCAGGCGTGACCAAAAAGATCTCCAAAATTCTAAACAAACATAAGATCCAAGTCCGATTCAGTACAGTGCATAAAATCCGTGATCTGATTCCATCTGTGAAGGATGTCGTTCCTGACTTACAGTATCCTGGAGTCTACAAATTGAGTTGCATTTGTGGTGATTGCTACATTGGAGAAACAAAACGTCATGTGGCTGATCGTGTCCGCGAGCACAAGTCAGATCTGAAACACTGGCAGAACTGATTCTTCCGCCGTTGCCGATCATTGCTACAACTCGGCGGGCTCTCATGAAATTGTCTTTTCCGAGACCAAGGTTCTCTGCAAACCTCCTGGCTACCATCAAAGGTTTGTACACGAAGCCATACAAATATACAAACACAGACATAATATCAACCGTGATGATGGGTACAAACTCAGTAATCATTGGAAAGATGTGATTAACCACGCAAAAGAGACTTAATTACACTTTTTTGGACCATCTTATCTGACAGGCACTATTTTAATTTACTTCACCGAGTGTTAACATCCCCACGTGCAGTCTTTGATCACCGCTCACTCTCCGTCCCGACACGTGTCCATTCATTGTGTTGAGCACTGCGTGATGTCTTTGATCACCGCTCACCCTCCGTCCCGACACGTCTCCATTCATTGTGTTGAGCGCTGCGTGCAGTCTTTGATCGCCGCTCACCCTCCGTCCCGACACGTTTCCATTCATTGTGTTGAGCACTGCGTGCAGTCTTTGATCGCCGCTCCCCCTCCCTCCCGAGACGTTTCCATTCATTGTGTTGAGCACTGCGTGCAGTCTTTGATCACCGCCCCTCCTCCCTCCCGATACGTTTCCATTCATTGGCTACCACAGTCTAAGCTCTCCAACCCCCCCCCCCACCCTCTCCACCTCCCTTCAACTTGCTTATAAGGGATTACATCTTGAATCATTGCTTCACTTGATGCAGCTAATTCGGCTGTGACGGTCCCACCTGATGACGGAGACTTGTGTTGCCTCCGAAACGTCGTGATTTTTATTTTTATTTTATTTTTATTTTGATGTTTTACTTACGTGACTTAACCAAAAAAACCTAAGAATATCCGTCTTCGATCTTCAACTGGTTATCAACTCCCCGAGTGCTCCCGCGCGTCCCCCTTTATAGTCCTCCATGCGGACGTCGCTGAGAGCACCCACCCCAGTTGACCAATCACTGCGTGCTGCCCACGATCCTATTTCCCACATTGTGTCAGCGCGCACAACCACGCACCCCTCGCCGCCCCGTGATCCATTACTGTCGGCGCGTTTCAACACCACCACTCTTGATGTAGTCACGCCCGGCGCGCTCACACACACGCCGCCCCTTTGTCAGCGCGTACTGCCACTGCATCACCCCCTACCACATAGCTCGCAGCCGACCCGGCTGTTAAAATTTTTTATTACCCCCCCCCCCCCCCCCGTGTGTGCCCCGTAACGCAAGCAACAATCACAACAACACAACACAATAAGAACTCCGCCATCCGTAAGAAACAGAACAAGGCACCGTAACAACAAGAACAATATGTACAAACCGGCGAGCGACAACAATAAATGTGTATACAAAAAAATGACTCGTGCAGCGTCCCTTCATTTCCGACCGCCCCTTGAACGGGACATTATACCGGGCAGAAGGGGAACGCGGCGACGAGCTGCAATCTCGGCCCTCCCCTTTTTTTCTTTTTTTCATGAAAAGTGTTGTGTCTTAGCACGAGTCCGCCTGGCCGGTCCGTCGTACGGCACCGTCCGGTGGCGCCGGCAGTCCAGGAAGGCACAGGCCAGGCATCGGAGATCCGCGCGTGCCTCGGGGTTCCGGTTCACGACGGTCAGCAGCCGTCAGGTCCGAGACACCTGGGAGTGGGTCAGGCGGAGACACGTGAGGATCAGACTGCGACACATCCATCCCCAAGTCGACGGCCACATCACACGCTCGGTCGTTACGGCACAAGGGGAGGCCATGCAGTGCCGCGAATGGTTTCAGCCGGGAGGGGTGTACGTACCAACGGCGTTTTCCCCATTTAATCTGGATACTCTGGGGTCGTGCAATACGCACGATTTCCACAGGTCCCCTCCATGGTCTCAACAATTTAGGGGATGTAGCCGACGGTGCATGTGGGCAATGCAGCCAGGCCTTATCGCCTGGTTTCCAATCGTGCGTATACACCTCTTGTGCGTGCAATCTTTCGTTAGCGATCTGGCGAGACCTCGAATTCAACCTCGCAGCCTCTCGCGCTTCAGCCAGTTTGGCGATATTAAATTTGATGTGGTCGGCCAATTTAGACTTCGCACGTGGCTGGGAAATCCCCAGTTGGACATCCATGGGCGGATCGGCCTCCCGCCCATACATGAGAAAAAATGGGGAAAACCCCGTCGCCGCATGGGGGACCATTCGATAGGCCGCGAGCACCCCAGGTACCTGTAAGTCCCAATCAACCTGATCGTTGCAGACCTGTTGGCACAGCATAGAAGTAATCGTCCTGTTTAGACGTTCAACCATGCCATCAGTCTGCGGGTGGTACGGGGAGGTACGCACTTTCTTCGTACCCAGCAGGTCGCACACCTCGCGCAACAAAACGCTCGAAAAATTATTTCCCTGATCCGTCAGCAAGCGTTCGGGGGCGCCTTTGTCCAAAACATAGTGCTGGACAAAGGCGTCTGCCACTGCCGCAGCCGACTGGTTGGCGAGTGGCCACGCCATGGGCCATCGGGTGAAGTATTCTACGCCAACCAGCAGGTACTTGTTACCCCTAGGTGTAGCGGGAAAGGGCCCCAAGATATCGAGCGCAACCAATTCGTTCGTGCGCGAAACCTGGATGGATTGTAGCGGTGGATTAGCCGCTATTGGTGGCGGTTTTCTTTGAGTGCACCCCACACA